CGGGGCGAGAGAAGTACTCGATGGTGCGGTGTGCCAGTAACAGGGGTTCGTAGATACCATCTTCGTGATCTTGGATTAAGGTAGGTCGTGAATTGGGTTGAAGGATGATGTCGTCCTCGTTGTGCTTGGAATTGCATGTCCAAGGCCAGTTGAAGTAAAGCTGCTTTGCGTGCAAGTCACAGGAGCACTGGAAGTCAAATCTCGACTGAATGAGATGGACATCGAGTGTAGTTCGGTTCTCCTTATCTCTAGAAATCATGGCAGGCCGATTTGCGGAGGTATCCATTTGAGACCTTTGGCTGTGCTCTTTGCACGGATCGCAATGGCATGGGACCCCGGGACGCTGTGTTGTGGTCTCGGCGACAGGCGGGTTCGCGGAAACATCGTTTTGTGACTCCTGACCATCCTCTTCGGGCTCTTCAGGGTGAGTCTCTACTGTGGTTTTCACAACGGACTGATTAGTGGAGGTATCGACCTGAGACTTCCGAGCACTCTCCTCTTTCTTTCCAGAATGAATCGTAACTTGAGGAGTCTCGGGTGTAGTCTGCGCAACTAAGGACACTGGTAGAGTCTTCGGCCGTGAATCAGACCACCGTAGGTACTCGAAAGTCACAACCGAACCGGCAGTGATAGCTGCCAATAAGACGACCAGCTGAGCTTGAGTTTTGTCCATGGTTGAAGTAGGGTTGTAAGTAACTAGAGGTATGAAGAAAGGCGAAGCTCGAACCGCTTATGTAGAAGACCACCTAGTTTCTCTGCTTATTCACCGCTGCGTTGGACTACATGATTGCTAGTCGGTAAGGGGTCCTCTTAGGTTGCTGTTGGAGGTGTGAATTGATGCCGAAGTGACATCGTACACTACACAACTGGGAGACTAGACAAAGGCTCTGCCTGTTTGACTAGAATTTCGTACTTTGTGTAATTTCATGGTGTGAAAGTGATTGCCTGGCTGATGGTCGAATTCGATGCGACCAAGACTGCTTTCGCAAGGTATCCGCCTATTTGCACAATGTCCCGAAGAATGCAAGAATCGCAAGCAAGATCGAAGGTTTTGACTCTCGAGTAAGGATGTACTGCCAGTAGAAGCCATTAGTAAATGAGGGAGTATCAGCGCCGTTGTCTTGAACCCCTTTCAAGGCTATTGCGCTACTCATTGGGGTTTGTGATGTATGTATGGGCAGGAGGATTAGCGGCTTGTGCCGTACAAAGCGCGCTGCATAGGCGTTTGATCGATGGAAATAGCGCGATGATTCCGAATGCAACGGGTAGATAGGCCTAGGCAGTTCTGAGCTTGGTGGTGATGTCCAGGAGGTGACGCTGCCCGATTTGCGGAGCACTCCTTCCTGGAGTTGGACAACGTCGCCGAGTCATGCAAAACCTCATCGCTGACTAAAATGAGTCGTTAGCCGAGTCGCGAACATCGCGCGTCACAGTCCTCCTCCTTTCATCAATTCGCGAAAGTCAAGCACGCGTCGGCATTTTGCGCAAATCAACGACCCAACTACGAGCACATCACACTTAAATCATGCCGTTGATGGTATCACAATGAAGACAGTTCTGGGCCTTCAGCAGCGCCGCGCGCTCGCGTCCGTCTCCTTCCCCGCAACCCCGCCATAAGCTCTCAGGAAATCGTCTTCCATCGTTCAAGATTATCCGCAAGTAGCTCCCAGTACATGACATGAGTGTCGCGCTACCTTTATGCATAGCCGCCATTGGACGGTATCAGGGTAACGGCCCTGCAACAGCCTCGATGGGTTGCCGTACCCCGGAAAGCCGGTCCTGGACGGCCTGGTATATAGCTTTGAAACTCTCCGTCATGGAGCGAATTGATCTTTTTCTCAGATCGTTGGTACGAGTTCTATATGGCGCCAAACCCCAAACGAGTGAAAATGTCTCCTTCTACTGACCGCAAGCGCGCTGTGCGCATCGCAGGATGCTCGGGAGGGTTTACGGATCGTTCGACTGCTATTATGAGGATGGCGGGTGATCCGGAGGTTGATGTTGTTATGGGTAAGACCCCCCTGAACGCTGGCTATGGAGGACTTTGAGCTGACACGAACAGGCGATTGGCTATCCGAAATGACCATGACCGTACATGGTAGCGGCAAAGTAAAGCAGAAGCCTACGAAGAGCACCAATGGCACGACGAGCCTTGAAGACCGGAAGAAGAACGCCATGTACGCCGATACCTTCATCCAATGCCTCGAGCCAGCGATACCGAATCTAGTCAAGAACAAGACGAAGCTCGCGGTGAATGCTGGTGCTTCAGATACTGAACTTCTCGCGGAAGTTGTAGTTGATATGTTGGAGAAAGCGGGTGCTGGTCACCTCAAAGTGGCATGGATAGAAGGAGACGATGTGACTGGGCAGGTCAACAGTCTCATCAAGAAGGGGGAGAAATTCGAAAGCTTGATGCATGGCAAGAAGCTTGAGGAATGGGGAATGCAGCCAATCTGCGCACAAGCGTATTTGGGTGGACTTTGCATAGCAGAGGCTTTTCGGCAGGGCGCTGATATTGTGCTTGGTGGAAGGCTCGCAGATGCTGCGCCGGTCATTGGTGCTGCGGCGTAAGTTACAACAATGGACTTTTTACCTCAGCTAACGTGATCAGGTGGTGGCATGACTGGAAGAACGATCAATTTGACGAACTTGCCGGAGCGCTCATTGCAGGCCATCTAGTTGAATGCTCAGCCTATGTTACCGGAGGATACTACTCCATGTTCAAAGATCTCATGAAGACTGGAAAGCACATCAACATGGGGTTCCCTATCGCGGAGGTCGAATACGACGGCAGCTTCAACATTGCGAAAGAGAAAGATACCGGAGGTAGGTATCGGTACCTTAAGCTGGAGTTGTACGCCGCTAACGCATACAGGTTGCGTGACTGTCGGAACATGCACTTCGCAGCTACTATACGAGATCCAGGGACCGCTGTACTATAACTGTGATGTTACGGCCGATATCACGGACGTCAAGATGGAGCAAGTAGGCGAGGATGTTGTGCGTGTCACAGGAGTCAAAGGGCTTCCTCCGCCACCGACTACTAAGGTAGGTATTACCGCTCCAGCTGGCTGGCAATGCGAGTGGCATATGTTTGTATGCGGTCTTGATATCGAGGAGAAGTGCAAGATTACTGAAGACCAAATCCGCTACGGTAAGCACACCGTATGGTTGCGACAAAGACGACGCCATACTGATAATGAACAGCAATGGGTGACAACGTAAACCGCTTCAAGACACTCAGATTCCACCAAAACGGTTCTTCACCAATCGATGCCCACAATCAAGACGTAGCAACAGTCGACTTCCGCATCTTCGCCCAGACTTCCGACCCCGAGCTAGTACGACCCGACATTCCCAACGGCTTCAACCGCTGGTGTCTCGAAGTATTCCTCCAATCTGCTCCCGGTCTGTCGCTGTCGAACGACTTGCGCCAGATCGCACCAAAGCCCTACTACGACTACTGGGTCTCGCTCCTCCCCCAAGACCAACTTCCCCTACGCGTTCACACCATGTACGGCAACAAAACGTCCACCGACCTCAGCCCACCCGCCATCACAAAAGAATACCCCCGCCAACAAGCCTCCTACGAGACCTCCTCCCCAGTCGACTTATCTTCGTTCGGCGAGACAGTGCGCGCACCACTAGGCTACATTGTCGCCGGCCGCTCCGGAGACAAAGCCTCAGACTGCAACTGCGGCTTCTTCGTGCGCCACGACGACGAGTGGGATTGGCTGCGCTCGTTCATGACGATCGAGCGCGTTAAGCAGCTTCTTGGTAAGGATGAGTACCAGGGGAAGCCGATTGACCGGTTTGAGATTGCGGGGATTCGGTCGGTGCATTTTTTGCTGCATGATCACTTGAGGGATGGTGGGTATAATACGTGTTCTTCGTATGATACTTTGGGGAAGAGTAAGTGCAACCTGGGCTTTCGTGAAGTGTGTCTTGCTAACTGATGACTAGATGCTATGGAGTATATGCGCGCGAAGACTGTGGATTTGCCGAAGAAGTTTCTGGAGAGGGGTCGTATTTAGAAGTTGTTGGGTTCAATGCAGATGTCTTGTTGTTATGAAGATGCAACTCATGTTGCTAGTATCTGCGCGCATTGGAAGTTTAACCATCCGCAGGGTATCTCGTCCTCTCATGCGATAGTTATTGTCGCTTCTCCTTTGGCATCAGGCTTTGCAGTCACTCACTGTCATCACGTTTTCTGAAGGTATCGCTTCAACATGACGTAATCCAGGTGGGTGAGAGACGTCTTTTGCGCTCTGGGGCAAACGGTCGTCGCTCTTTCCTTCCACAACAAGCGAGGTCCAAGCTCATGCGCTACAACCTCACTGACTTCCACAACTCCGACGCTCACCTGCTCTCTACCGTTTCAGTCGTCTTGTACAGAAACAAAGCAGCCCGTTACACTCACTTGTGCCGCCGTCGCATGCAGCAGCATTGAAGGCTATCCCGTAAGTTCTTCGCTCATCATGGGCTTGGTATTTGTAGACTTACTAATGACCGTCAGTCACACCTACGCCGACCGCGGCACTCGAACACCAGCCCAATCACTGTCTCGAACTGCAGTCATGCACTTTCCAGTCCCAGATCCTAAGCGCAGCCGCATCGCGCAAGCGTGCTCCGGATCTGTGGTTCCTGATGTACCCTCACTACTCACTATCGCGCCTGAGCTACGAAATCAGATCTACGAGTATCTTCTTGTGGAGTCCTGCCCTATAACGATCCAGAACACCACGGTTGATTATACAAAGACCAAGGCAGCCAAAGGGATTTCTACCTCCATAGGAAACCCTACCGTCATCCGTACTTGCCGTCAGATCTACCACGAAGCAGTGGGCCTCCTTTACAGCCGGAATGCCTTCCGCTTTGAATACAACCTTCACTTTGATGAAAGATGCGCCAATACTTTCACGAGTCCCATCGAAGTATGCAAAGAATGGATAGACGGCATTGGCTCTTGCCTTCCGAGATTGCGCACTATCACCATCAACATGGACATACCCGAGATACCAGATGATGCACCATGGCAAGAATTTTACGAACACAGATTCGATGTGCGCCACGATTCCCGCCAGTGTATAGACGTGTTGCCGCTACTTGACATCTTCTGGAACAGCGACGCGCGCAACACATCAGTTTCCCTTGAGAGGGCTGATAACGATGCATCAGATGACTTCGACTCAGAGTCTGAAGAACCAGATCTTGACGTAACGTCATTCGCCAATGTCCTTTCCGAGCTAGGGAAGATGGATGCACTCGATTTGCGGAAAACCCGTCGCTTGCTAGAAGGGATCTACGTCAACACGACGGGTACCCAAGGCACCATTGCATATCGTTCGACCAGTCACAACGCTACTGTGCGGCGTAAGTTCGAGCATTCGGTCGAGACACAGCGATACGACATCGCTGTTCTACGAAGCCCATCAACCTTATTTAATCTGCCAAGAAAAATCACCGATGCTATCATTTGGCTTACACTCGAAGATCAAGAATTCACGTACAACTTCTACACGGGTGTCACGGATGGAAATCAACCCGCGATGCTCAACGTCAATTCTCAGCTTCGAAAGCTTGTTGCACCTTGGTTTCTATGCAAAAGCCGCTCTACCATGATACTGGGTACTAATTCTGTCCACTCTACCAAGACCATGTTCGAAAAACTTGGTCGTCGCGTTGCAGAGTATTTCAAGCAGACCTGGTCTTCGGAGCAGAATCGACCGACATTCTGTAATCCGGTTTCAGCAACCACTCGTCTCATTAACGCACCAACGATCATCTTGCAGTTCCAAACAAACGAGTCGCCACATATAGCTGCCGTCCATATTGACGCATGGGATCTCCTTCGTGTCACTGCGATATTTTCAGCCCGCACTACAATTACTGTCCGCGTATGCGGTGACCATGGCGAGCTTCAGGATCATACTACGACCTTAGGCGATATCAGAAAGAATGCCTATCTACTTTTGAAGCACCTCGAGCCTGAATTAAAAGCAAATGCGTTCAAGCTAGGTGTCAAAGTTGATCTTGACCGCCGGTGTATCCCCATGCGGATTGCCTTTCGGAAGAGTGACGAGGGTCCGCATCCCTTCGGCTTGCCTACGGTGAAGAGTTTAGACACGACTGAGTTCACCTCGTTGTTTGATAAAGGCAATCCAAAATGGTGGAACAAAGTGCATACAGAGCACGATCTCGAATTTTGGGCGATGCCATACTGGCCAGAAGAAACCGGCAATTGTGCGGACTGGTACAACTTGACTCTGGATGCCATTATTTCGCGTCTTTATTACCTCTGCGATTGAGTGGAGGATTAACATGCACACATATGTTCTTCTCGCATGTATTTAGTTTTCTCTTCTGTATCTAGCAGTGGTTTAGCCTACATCTACCTGAGCATATCTCACACCACATTACACCACGCCACATGTAAGCCCCAAATTCACCATGACCTTCCAAATACCTGCCCAGGCATCGCACACCCCCGCGTCTTTCGTAGGCACCACCTAGTCGTTGTGACCGGTGTACCTTCGATTAATCTTTTTGCATCATCCAGTAATTGCGGTCGCGCGTCGTCACCGACGTTCAGTTTTGCCAGCGGATTCTTATCACTCGGGCACAGATCATAAGAAGATGACGTAGTGTAGGGTAAACGAGATACCTTCCTAGTGCGCTAGTGCAAACAGTCGCTGCCTGGGTGTTCTTTCCTTTAGGACAGCTAAGGTCCAAGCTCAAGCACGATAACCTCACTGCGAGTTCCTGAACACTTGCACTCTCCTCACCGCCATCTCTTACAAACAGCTACGCTTACAGCCATCAGGTAAGATCTTTCCCTGCTCTAGCTACTGTGTATGTGTATTTACTAAATACGACAGTGTTACATTTGCAGCCGCTGCGCAGCTACTCAGTTATGCACTTCCCGTTTCCGAAGCCCATTCACGGGCAGATCGCACGAGTGTATTCCCAAACCAGCAATCAGACTGAAACCTCACTACTCTCCATTCCGGCCGAACTTCGCAATGAGATCTACCAATACATCCTGGTAGATGACGCGCCCGTTGTGATCGTGGACAAAGCAAATAACTCGGTCATCAAGGCCAGCGGCTTCGCAGGTAACGCAGCCATACTTCAGACTTGCCGCCAGATATACCACGAGGCAATCGGCGTTCTCTATGGTCAAAATGTGTTCCGATTCAACTACGGTATACTCATCGATTGTTACGATTTTCATACGATTATCATCAATCCTGTAGAGACATGTTATAAGTGGACGCAACATATCGGATCGAGCCTCTCAAAACTGCGTACCGTTGCCATCAACTTGGCAACACCGAATATACCCGCCGATGTTTCCGGTCATTCTCCGTGGGATGACTTTGACAGCTATTCCAGCAAGGACATGAAGATCTTGCCTTTGCTCGACGTCTTCTGGAACGGAGTCGCATGCAACCTGTCAGTTCGTTTTGAGAGTAGTGGAAATCCCGTACGTCCCCACTTTGACGTCGAACTCCTCACCAAGGTTCTATACGAGTTGGGAAAGATGGACACACTCAAGTTGAAGATCGCGCGCCGTTTGATATGGAGCGTCCGAGTGGCTTCAAACGGCAAAGAGGGCACCATATGCTTTTTATCGACTAGTCGCAAGGTCGATGTCAGACGACAGTTCCTACTGTCGGAGAAGACCCAGCAGTACGAACTTCCACCGAGCCAACCCGGATTCCTCGATCTACCTGTCAACATCATTAAGTTCATTAATAGATTGGCGCCCAGCAACCATGAGGTCACATACAACTTCTACACAGGTGTTACGCATCGCTACGGTTTCGGTATGCTCGACGTCAACCTGGAAACCCGCGGGATGGCCCTTGTGGACTTTCACCGCAACAGCCGTGTTATTATCATCCTAGGCTCAGACACTTGTTTGTCTTCCGAGGCCATGTTTAGCGGGCTTGATCGCCGCGTTGCGCAATATTTCGATCGCTTGACCGATCGCTTGACCGATCGCAGAAGGCTGCAGCACTGTACACCAGTTTCAGCGGCCCAGATGTACAGGACTGCACCGACCATCGTTTTGCAGTTCCAGACGGATAAGCTGTTAAGTCAGGCGAAAGTTCGCATCAACGCAAGGGATCTGCTGCGGGCTACCTGCGTCTTCCCAGCCTATACTACGATCATCGTTCGCGTATGTGGCCTTGGTGAGACCCGGGACCATACTACAAGATTGGGCGAGATCCGGAAGCATGTCTTGGTTCTGATGGAGCACTCACTGGGGATCACACTGACGGTTCGCGATCCTATGGTAGAGATTGAGCTCAACCATGACTGTCTCCCCGTGCGGGTCACCTCCTGGAGCAATCGAGGGTTCCTTCGTCTCGATAAGACGGTGGAAATAGTGGATATTGCTTGGGTACAAGATATGGTGAGGGCGAGGACGTGGAGACCGGAAAGGCACATGAATGGGTTCGTGAGATACGGCATGCCAGAAGGCTGGGATAGCGAGACGCGTTACAGCCTTATCAAGTGTCTCAAGAACCTTTGTTCGTGAGTGGAAGGTTCGTATACACGGTACGACATGATGATACTCATTGTGAATCATCCGCAATGAAGGGGAAACGAGAGCCCTCGTCTCCAGCTGTCGAGATCAGTTTCGGCTGGAAAAGACGCAGTAGTACTAGCAATATTTAGCATCCCTCAATCCATTGACACCTCAACAACCATCCATGACATGAAGACCACGTTTCCATCTCATGCAATACAATAGGCCCAACAAGCCCTTATCCATTACCCACGCGCGACATGCGCATTCCATCAAATCCAACATCCAGGAAGATCGCCAACACCATCACGTTCGTCATTTCCAAACTTCGCCTCACCGCCCGCTGTTAGCGGCTTGGCGGCAAGAAAACGTCACTGCTGCGTTTTGATTGGCCACACTCGCCTACTTTGCCATCATCACTTTACCTACTTTAGACGCGTGCCATTGCGCATCTGCAAACGCGTGGTATCGTGAAACCCACGCGCTGCTAAAAAAGAAGAAGAAGAAGAGGAATAGAGAAAGGAAAGGAAAGGAAAGGAAAGCGAAAGCGAAAGAAGATGGATACTGTTGAGCGAGGAGCGATACGCGATGAGAAGGATGCACGGTTAAGAGATGGGCAGGCAGGCGATGTTGAGAAGGGTGGTGTCAACGGTGGTGGTGGTGATGGAGAGGATATGATGGGTTCGTCTTCTTCTCTTCAGTTCTTTTAACACTGCGTATAGCAGATAAGTTTATCGTGTCGTCCATTGGTACTAACGCTACATCTCCAGGTAACAACCCATCAACACAAAAAGACCTTCCTCCTCTGAAAGGCCTCTCATTCCTCGACCGCTTCCTAGTCGTATGGATTATCCTCGCCATGGGCATCGGTATTGCGTTGGGGAACACGGTTGACTCCGTGGGTCCAGCGTTGCAGCGAGGAGAGTTCGTGGGCGTCAGTATACCGATCGGTATGTCTCATTCCCCTTATCCTCATCCCCACCCTACGATCTATCTCATAGTTATCATGCCAGATGCTAACACGTTATATAGCAATCGGCCTCCTAGTAATGATGTACCCCATCCTCTGCAAAGTCCGCTTCGAAACGCTCCACCTCCTCCTCAAAAAACGCGACCTCTGGATCCAAATCGCCGTCTCCTTCGTCCTAAACTGGATCATCGCCCCCCTCTTCATGGTCGGATTAGCATGGGCCTTCCTACCCGACCGCCAGGACCTACGCGAAGGATTGATCTTCGTGGGCATCGCACGCTGCATCGCCATGGTACTCATCTGGACGGATCTCGCAGGCGGCGACGGCGACTATTGCGCTGTTCTCGTGGCGTTTAATTCAATATTGCAGATTGTGCTGTTTGCGCCTTTTGCTGTGTTTTATATTCAGGTGGTTAGTCATGGGGACAAGACGGATATTTCCTATGAGAAGGTTGCGCAGAGCGTGGGCGTCTTCTTGGGGATACCGCTTGGTGCTGCTGTGATTACGAGGTTGGCACTGAGGTCGATGCTGGGAGAGGACCGCTATCAACGCAGGTTCATACGCTATATCGCGCCGTTTTCGCTCATCGGCCTGATTTACACGATCATCGTTCTCTTTGCTAGTCAGGGCGCGCATGTTGTCAGGCAGATTACGGATGTGCTGAGGGTTTGCGCGCCGCTCTTGGTCTACTTCATCGTCATCTTTACGAGTACGGTCTGGTTCTGCTGGAAGATGGGATTTAGCTACAAGGTCAGCTGCACGCAGAGCTTCACTGCTGCAAGCAACAACTTTGAGCTTGCTATCGCGGTTGTCGTCGCGGTCTACGGCGCCGGTAGCGGGCAGGCTTTGGCAAGTACGGTGGGGCCCTTGATCGAGGTTCCTGTACTTGTGCTGTTGGTGTATGTCCTGAAGTGGATACGAAAGAGATGGCAATGGGTCTAGATGTCGCGGGAGTGTACAATATGGGATGGGCATCGATCATGATGCGAGCTAGCCGTTGGACCGGCACCACGCCCCGGGCGTGAGGAAGATATTTGGAATGTTCCTTGCTCAACAGACGCTTGTGCTGGTGTATAACAGCAGAACGGTTTAGCTGCACAGGAGTAGTAATAGGACGGGTTGTGTATAAGACGAATACCAAGGTCATCCCGTCGGTAATAATTAATCTCTAGCACCAGTCATGTGTCGAAAATACACCATGAGACGAGACGCCAACATAGCGGGACCAGTATGACGGGTACAGTAGACGGTGATTCCCGAGTTGGAAGCCTTGGGTTTCATGGGTTTTGACGGGTCCCTCGCGGGTGTAGGGTTCCAGAACGTGCAAAGCTTAATTCCTCGCACATCGTAATCTCATTGGAAAACAAGTGACTGCGTTGCCGTGATTTGATTTGCGATGACACGCAGAACCCTGCTTTTTAGCGCGAACGGAGGAGATACCGAAGACTTTTACGCTAGTCATACGCCAGGACAGTTGGTCCGCCAGCGTAGCCAGACCAACGTGGGTCAGGGTATACATGCGAACCCCACAGATGGAGATGCTATTCACACGCAAGGCGTTCGGCTTCGAATACCGGTTCCAGTTCTGGACAAGATTGAAGTTTTTCGAGCGGGCGGTGAGCACGTCAATCTCATTTTCAGTCGGATAGATATCAGCCGGTGGTACGTACAGCGTAATAACGCCCGATTGTGCATGATGGTACCCACATTCTGAATCAGAGGGACACAATTCTGCAACCAAATCGTAGTTGACGCGCGGGCTGTAGGCAACAAGGCGATGTCTAGCAAGGGGTTGCCGCTGGTGTCCGAAACGGCTCTGACATCGGATCTTGGGAGCGGACATGCGCGCCATGTCCGTCGGGTATCGAGATCGAAATCGATATCGTGTGTTGAACTTGCTAGTTTCGCAGTAGGAGGGTGATAGATCGTGCTGGGAGTACCGAGTATCCGGTGTTACTTGGCTTATGGTGACGCTCTGCATTTTCTCGTGCTCTGTGTAGACTCCGCAACGTGAAAATCAGGTGAGGAGGTTAGACGATGAATCATGGCCCCTGTATGAGGAGACTGCGTTGGCTTGCCTCGTGGGAGACCCTGTTGCTGGCCTAAGTCGACGTCAAGGTAGTTACCTGCAGGTGTTCTGCGTGACGTCCCATGTGATCATCAGTGCACTTTGTGCTCGTGCGTTCAAACCTTACAAATTCCAAGTTACACAAATATAGTTGGCTTGTCGTGCACGTACAGCCTGATGGTTCGGTCCGTTGTAAGGGACTGTTTCTGCTAATTCGGCACTTGGTGGTTGCAGCGGCGGCTGCCGTGTGGTTACGGTTGCAAGCAGCCGTCGGGCTGGGTGGTGCGTCTCCAACGGTCTTTGTGAGTTGTACCACCGCACCGCACATGCTGGGATGTGCCGTGACACGGTGACGGCGTGAGATGATGCAGAGGTCCGCGAGTCGAGCACTTGCGGCATACGCAATGTGTGAACACAGCCAGCGCGGCTGGGTCGACACAATCGTCGCGTGTGACAATCTACGGCTGCAATCGAAGGCGTCCGCACGGCACGTATGCTGACTCGTTGCCAGCGCCCAAGATTGGACCCCGCGGCGAAGGAAAAGTGTAGCCAGAAAGATCTCACTGCCCGTGGAGGCTGTTTCTGGAAAAGAGATAGCGGCGGTGCTATGTCGAAGGAAGATATGTTGTGCATGAATAACGGGCGCCAAAAGCTCGGTGGGTATCAGGCCGTGTTGTAGACTACACCATGATAAATTTCGCTAACCGCCGCGTCCCCAGTCATCGCAATCTGGCTGCCTCGGATAACCTACACATGCCTGAGCTGGAGATGGTGATATCAGGCCCGCGCCGAAAGTCATTCCGTTGGCGGGCAAGACGGACAATGACGTAAAGAAGGACCGTAAGTCGGCGCGCCTGGGGTGGGTGGAAGCGCCTGGTCGCTGACTCTGCGTTGGCAAAGGTTTCCGATTAGAGATGTGCTGCAGAAGACGGGCCATGATGCTTGGTTGCGATGTTTCGATGATGTCTACTGTGCAGGTGCACTATAGCTGGAACCGCTTCACCAGGCCTGAAACGCCGTCTCTGGTGCGCTGAGGTGTCGGCAGGGCCCAGGCGCTCATGCTCAGTCGTCTCAGGCTGGACATGTCAGCTCCACGCGCGCTTCATTCTGCAGCCGCGGGCGAATGCCGTCGCGCGATGTGCTGTATCCCAGGCGCGACCCATGTGGGTGCCGGCAGTGACGACCAGCATCGACCTTGTCGTTGGCTGTCAAAAGAGGGGAGACGCTCGCTAGAAGCAGTTCGGCGTCACGGCGCCGTGTTTGTCGCGCGGTGGGTGGGCGGTGGTGGAGGCAGCTCTGGTGTTCATGCGGCATCGACCGACCGGCGGCTCGCCAGTCGCACTTTCCTTCCCAGCCCTATGGAGAGACCCAGCACGCCGGTTCAGCCATGTCAGCGACGACCGTGTTTCACTCTGCCTTGCTCACGGCTGTCTGTCTAGGCCTCCCCGCACTCTTGTCGCCCTCGCGGCCATCAGTCAGCCTGTTTCTTCCTCTCCAACCCTGCAGCCGTCCCTCGCGAGGTTGCATCGTTTCCGATTTATGCTGGTGTTGTGCTGAGAGCTGAAACGGTCCCTCTGTGCCTGCAGGGGGGCCTCGCTACCAGGACTCCGCCGTCTGCATCGTGGAGCTGACATGCTGACATGGGCGCGGTCGGCATGTCCCTCGCGGAACTGTCAACTGCAGCCACGTCGCGTCTCAGTCCCTGGAGCAGCTTGTAACGATTACGTTGGTCTTTGTTCAAGTTTTTGCAAAGACCGGCCCCGCTAGATGCAAGCGATGCAGGATGATCGCCTTCTAGCTATACGCAGAAAGCAGTTCGCGAGCTATAGCTTCCCGTGCGGCGCAGTTCTCTAGACGGCAACTAGGAGCGAATGAGGTGTGTGATCCTAGGCGGTGAACCATGCTTCTGGGAACGCTTTCGACAGGACGCATCACGTATCGACAAAGTTACCTGCCGTGTCGGCGACTGCATGGCCATGGCTTGATCGGCCCAATCGATCTACCTGCTACGTACTTGGCGAACGCTACTGTCACAAAGGGCTCACAAAAGATATCGATGCATTTATTGCTGTTATCGTCGTCGCAAGCAAAGCCTGCTACCGACAGACAGGCGGGGTTGGCCCCTTGCGCAACCCTTCCTGTACCGAACGACCAGTCGGCAGCGGAACGGCGCGCGGCGCTGCAACAAGACTTGTGTCGACAATGCAGTCGAAACGGTGGTCGGCCATAACCTGGTTGCAAGTATTGGGGCAGTGGGATCGGTCCCAGAGTGCTTTTGTGCTATGCTCGCAACGTGCTCTAAACGCTACAGGCGGGCAAACGCGCATGCAGCCTGACGGTCCGCTGGGATAAGCAATTCTTCGGTACTCGTCTCGCGTAAGCACCATGGTGATTGAGCTGCTGCTGGGGATCGCGGAGATTATCCAGCCTGAATGGTATCACCTGAGTAGTCATTTCGGTCTTGGACGCGAAAGCGTCGCCTGGGCCGACAAGCGTCGCTGAGGGCTGATGGTGTCCTGAAGCGGCAGACGACGAGCACAGAACCGGCAGGGTGTGTGTGAATGACGGGAATCCTATTCGCTCGAGTGGAGCATGGTACGGGATTCCGCGCAGGTCGGTTACCACTCTATTGGGCGTCGCGGCCAAGAGGAAGGGGCTGTCATGATCCATCTGGGGGGCGCATTACAGTGTATGATGGTGCATGCAATCATCATGGTGCGGATGCTGAGGGTGAGGCGCATGACGGTGTTCTTCGGTTGGGGAGCGGTGTGTGCTGCTACCAGACGACGTGCCTGGGGCACTGGATAGGGAGAGGCTACTAGGAGATTGGTAGGCACTGGCAGGCAGTCGAGTGCACGGATGCGCTTCCGAGAGACGACTGCACCCGCCATTGTGGTAGCCGGAAGAGACTTGACTTGGTTGGGTCCAGCTCCGAGCGCGAGTGGCATGGACAGGGCCACCTAATTAATAGTAGCTCAGCTATGGCCTGCGTGCCGATGGGTCCCAGAGAGGTGCAAAAGATGAGTGGAGCACGCCTCGGACTGCCTCTTGCATTGATGCCGGCCTGCTTGTGGTCGACCCAGCGTCAGCACTCGTAGTCGCGCTTGACGGAAGCACTGCAGGGGTCGTCCGCTTTTAAATACCTCCCGCATCGCTCCGCCCTGATGACTGAGATCGCCTTGCTGGACTGTAGCAGTATACCCACGCCTGACCGCACTCGACGCCGTACACGTCCCAAACGACAGCGCGCCCTGCTTCCGCGTCCCCGTCATCGTCCCATGATCAGCGCATACGACGACTTGGCCCCTAGCACCGCCCTCGCTCGCCGTTAGCCGTCTGCCCTCGCTGTCGATACTTCTCGCTCCAATGGTCACGATGGCTTCGAATGGGTGTGTGCCCCCGCTCTCCGTACCACGCCCGCAGACTGACCCTCGCCCGCAGATTGCCCGTGCCCGCTCAGAACAGCAACTACATGGAAAATGGCCGCTGGTATCATGGCTTCCGGAGAGGCCTCTACATGTACCCGTGCGACGAGCCCGAGAAGGACCGCATGGACATCTACCACCAATTCTTCGCCGTCGCACGGAGAGGGCAGCTGCACCAGGCGCCGGTGCCGACGCAGCCAAATGTGCAGCCCCGCATCCTCGACGTAGGCTGTGGGACGGGCATCTGGGCAATTGACATGGCCGAGTAAGTTGGCCAAAGCAGCCAGAGCTACCTCCGCAAGGCTAACCGCGCCCGTGCAGCAAATACCTAAACGCCGAGGTGCGCCCACTTAAGCATGACGCATTGCTGCCAGACGGCTGACATGATGTGCGCAGGTCCTAGGTTTAGATCTCGTCAATATTCAGCCTGAGAAGTATGCCGCCCGCCCGTCGCTTGTCCGGCCTGACACTGATGCAGCCCCCGCAGAATCCCCCCGAACCTGCGATTCCGAGTACCACGCGACTACGAGAGCCCATGGACGTTGGGCGAGGACTCCTGGGACCTGATCCACCTGCGCATGGCGTGCGGCAGCGTGACGAGCTGGCCCGAACTCTACCAGAAGATTTACTCGTGCGCGCCCTCGCTAGACCCTCGCTTTGGGCGCCCCTGCTAACTGCCGCAGACATCTCAAGCCCGGCACCGGCTGGATAGAGCACATTGAAATCGACATGGAGCCGCGCTGCGACGACTACACGCTGCCCCCGGACAGCATGCTCACCAAGTGGTACGGCTGGCTGGCTGACGCCACGCAACGAGTTTCGCGCCCAATCGCCTATGAACACCGCACCCGCCAGCTGCTGCAGGCCGCCGGCTTCATCGACATCCAGGAGACGGTTATTCGCGTACCCTACAACACATGGCCCAATGACCCGCACCAGAAGGATATTGGGAGGTGGTACAACCTGGGCCTGACCGAGGGTCTGGAGGCGCTAACCTTTGCACCTCTCACAAGGGTCTATCAGTGGGACCTCAACGCGCATGTCAGGCCAGTGCTCGAGAGTGTTCGCAGGGAAATCTGCAACCGCAAAATCCATGCGTACAACAATATGTAAGTCACGCACCAATCCGCGCCTGCCCACGCCCACTGACCGGCCCAAAGCCACATCTGGACTGCCCGCCGTCCCCAGCAGTAGCATCTCGCACCACCCTTGTACCACTCTGTTCATGGATAGTTTGCCTGCCCGCTACACAGGTAGCCCCTGCCAGGCACCCACCTAGCCCGGACTGGCTTTCCCCCGACGCTCTATCGAGCGCATCAACGCGACGGCCTCGTTACACCTGGACTCTAGAGATGCTTCCAGGATGTTGTGCATTCCGCGACACCATTTTTAGCCTCACTTTCGCCGATCCCATGGCTCACGCACCAGCGCGAACCACCTCGGAACAGGGGATTTTGCCTCTTCTGCCTTTCCTCGCGTCGACTTGCTCTTCACCTAATGGCGCATCTTGCGGTAGGGAAAATCGGGTCTTCTTTGGGCGACTACCCCAGTCTGGCGTTATGGCATGTTAAGAATATGATACCTTGATACCTCGGTTTCCTTGCGACAAAACGATTCGTTTGCCTCTATCTTCACGAGAGCATGGCGGTCTCAGCGCGTCAGCTTCGTTGTGCATGTCACGTCCTTTTGCGTTGGTGCAGCGCACACGACGCGAATCATGGTGGATTGCATGCGGCCTTTTGGCTCTTTTCTGACGAGCATGTTGTTGTTTTTTTAGCGGAGCGCTCAGGACCCTTGGTGTGTCCCCTTTCCTCGATAGCACGAGCAGTATATAATAGCTGGAATATACCCCCACTTCCTCTCATAGAGTTTATCGCAACGCCTCTCCTGAGAAAGTCTGTCGGAAGTATCGACCCTCTGGGAAGGAGCCATGACGTCGCACAGGTGGCAATGCACTTTATCACTTGTCCGTGGTTTATACGCTGCTGCCACGCGTCGCCGTTCCGACGTTGTGGGCACTCTTGGCTCTGGTCCAGGATGTCCTCTCGAAGATCTGTAACGGTGGAGACCCAGCGGCGCTTCTACACAAGACGGCGGGACGCATAAGATGGGCGCGTATTGTTTCAGTGTTGCATCGCTGCCTCTCGAGGCCCAGGGTGCCGGACCGATCCATTCTGGAGCAATAATAGCAAGCGAGCTGCAGCATGCCATGGCCAACATGGGTGTCTATCGCCCATGCAGTTGCATGCACGATATACTAGACGGCTGCAACTACGATGTCCGACGGCGCGCGCCCAGTCTAGCAGCTGGACAGTCCAGTGCATGACTCGTATGACGTTTGCAGCAGAGGCAGCAAGTTTGTCGAGGTGGTGGTATGCGGGGTGGGAATGGGGGCGAGGGCGAGGGAAAAGGCGTGCGTTCCGATGCTTTGGGCCGGCCGAGGCTTCTGAGGCTTCTCCCGTATCCCGCGTATGGTGCCTTCCGCGGACCCTCCAGGGAAGAAGGGAAGGAACGGCCGGCCGCCCACTCGTAGGAGGAAAGGGCGCATCACTGCATCCAACGTCTGGACTCGGACCTACTCACTCTCCGGTCTTCGCGTACTCCAGCGCACGCTGCATGCCACTGCAAATGCGAATGCACCCACGGAAAGCAAACCCATGTTTTCCGCGCTCCCCTTTGCCCACACCCCCATCCACGACGCATCGCAATCTTGCGCCGCGTGCAACCAAACAACGCGTCACGTTCGCGCGACCTGCTAACGACATGGAGAGGCGCCATGTCACCATGTTTGATAACCACGGTCCTTTCTCGGAGCATCCCTCAGCCTGTAATGCGCACACCATTGTCAGTGATCGCCGCACAATGTTCTGACATGTCCGGCACCGCCGTGACAGCTCGCCGGTCGACATCGGCATGAGCAGGCGTTGCCGACGCGCTCTGCCTGCATCGTGACCGCCAATTCGTCACAACCGCGTATTGCATCTGCCATCGCCTTTCGCCAGACCACCGGACTCTGCGCTTCCTCCGAGAACCACGCCTCCCCATCCCCGCAACCGAGCCGCACGTGTAGGGGACCGCTTTTCACCTCCGCCGATTCCGTCCTGCCCTGCGTCTATCTTCTCCTTTCGAGCGGACGCGACAGCCATGTGCGCACCATCAAGGCATCCACCTCGTCTACCAAACTCCTCCTCTGCTCCAACCTATACACCGCCAATGTGACTGGCGAGCGCTGCAAACTCTATTCCGCCCTAGGACCCAGTCCATGATGCGATTCCCACCCTCCGCTGCCCTCGTTACCGATGGCGAGGTCCTGCCGCGCAGCATCTCACATAGTACACCGACGTGCTGCGCCGGCCCTGCGCCACTATTTCCGCCTGTCACCACGCCGCCTGTATCTTACCACTCTCCCGGATAATCTTCGCCCGCTGCGAACCGCAGTCGCCGACCTAATCGCTGTGCGATATACACACTTGTCCGGTGCTAGCAGAGAATGGTGGAAGTGAAACTTTTGCCTCGCTGATCTCTCCGCGCTCCGTCCCCAGTCCCATCAGCTGTCAGGTCGAAAAAAATCTTTGCTGCAGAATACATATGCACGACGTTATGGGATTACACTAGCCCATCTGCCGGTGAGCGGCAACCGTTTGCCTGGTCCTTCGACGTGTTGGTGGCGTGGTTACAACCAACCGTTCGGATCCTCTCCCAGCTCCCAGCTCCCAGCAACAACAACGATGGATTGCTATATTCGGCCCATCTTGTTCGCTCTCGGAGGCAGCGACATTTTACATTATGCAAGGGCGCGCCTTTCGATCCTGCTCCACGGATCCAATGAGCTTTATCCCTCTAACACGATCAGCCAGCCAGCCAGTCAGCCTGCAGAGTGACTGGCCCCACGGACCGGATCCCTCGCAGGTCCCGAAGATGGTCCGCATTAGTTCCCACTGACTTGGTCTTCCCTCGAAGTCCGTCCGTTCGACTCAGTCAGCTCACATCCCCATCGCTTACACTGAGGAAACATTCCGCACCATGCCACCCTAGGCGACCACTATTCTGTAAGTTTCCGACTCCAGTTTATCGTTTCCTTCATTCGGACCCCCACTATGATGACAAACGCTGGGGCCATAAGAGTTCCTCTCCGCTCCCTTATCTTGCATGAGGGAGTGGATTGCAGGAACAGTGCTTTCAAGAACCAGCAACATTCTACCAAGAATCTTCTCAACTTTTCTGATATTCTACAACAAAACCACGCACTCTGGAATGGCGCTTACTCGTCGGTACGTATCCAAAGCTAATCATTGGTCAGGGTCGACCACTCCGGTGCTAAAGCTAGTGCTCTTGTAGCAACTTTAGCACACCTACTAGCGGAAAGCTTGGTTCGTTTAGTTTCGACTCGGTTAAGAGGTGATCTTGAATCGAGGGTCTGGCATCGGAGAATAGGCAAGAAGTGGGAAGGTGGTAGAGATCTGTGACACCACTTGTGTCGCAACTTTGACTCTACACGGCGGTACCGCGTTTGCGGGATCTGCATAGCCGTCGATCCAGGCCGTTCACCTCCGATGACGCGATTCATGAGCCCACAGCGTGGGCATGGGAATGTTCGCGTTGCCGATGATCGTCGGTGAGGTAGGTCGTTACGCCAGTCGTCGCATTCGTATAGCAGCTCATCCGGGTAAGAGAGGTACGTACCTACGTATACACGGCCGTGAACGGGTGAGTCGTCAAGCCGCCTACGCATCTCCAACTCCAAGCGTACGAGTAAGCCCGTGGAGAAAATCAGGAAAAGTCCGTGGAGAAACTCGAGTAAGTCCGTGGGGAAATTGCACTGACATCAAGGAGCAAAGCCTCAGTCGTGTCACCGCCTTCGCTCACATGGCATCGACTCATGAAAAGCCCATCTCACCTCTACCACGGACAGCGACATTTGTCACTATCCGAAATACCAGCTCTACATCCACACGACACCCCTCCGGGTACGCAAAGCGCGTCACCTGCCTCACGTATATTTCTTGTTCCTTCTCGCTACACTAACATTGCACTACTCCCATTACTCCAACTACTCCAAGCTGCTAGAATCACGCCTGTTTTTAGTCCCCGTCCTTGCGGCGGCCAACCCTCAGGCGTTATTTGACATTGAGCTCGTCGTGATATTTCCCGCTTTGGTACTCTAGTGTCGCGGTCGATCTTGGCTCCCGCTAGTTCGGGAGATCTAGTCACTGCACTCCGTGATTTAGTTGGCGTTAGGATCTTTTAGTTTGCATACCTGCGGCTCGCTTAGGGAATGTACTATGAGTGCAGTTTGGGTGTGGACATGGGAAAGGAGATTTGGCTCGGGACGCGAAGGCTTGAAGTTTGTTTGGGGGAAGACACGTGGAAAGGAAAGGGCGTTTGGAGGTAGGTGCGTGTAGTATAGTGTGGTGTGGGATATGCCCAGGCAGATGTGTGATGGAAAGTACTACTACTGCATCTGTTCTAGCATCAACCAACCCCAACGTCAAGGCATGTTGCCATGCTCTTCTTATAATCCAGAGCCTCAATAGTATGCATTGATTCTAACGCGTAGCCCTGCCATGCTTCTTGTAAATCCAGCAGTGAACTTAATGAACATCCACCCATCTCCCTCTCAACCCCATTCCTTTCTCTAGACATTATAATCTTACACACCTCCCCTCCCAATCACACCAGCCAACCATGTCAAACTCCTTCTTCTGTTCCCTCTCTTCTCCTTCTTCCCTCCCACCTTCCAAGAAGCAATAGTAGCTTCTCTACATAGCGGCCCTCCGTCTTCTTCCCGCTCATCCTCCGACACTACGATGTCGCTATCGACAACGATAGCTATTTTCCCATCATGCGCGTTGTAGTTGCATGGAGTCAGCGGGGCTGGAGCCCAACATGGTGTCGAACACGTGCACGCGAGATGTGATGCCGGCGCGAACATGTGTGCGAAGAAGTCTTGGACTGCGTCGGAGAGGTGATCGCATGTCATGTGGTGGTATGGGTGTGATGAGTGCGCGAGTTTACTGGAGGAAGAAGGTAGGTAAGGTGTTTGGCTTTGGCAGTGCGACGCGAGCATGGTGTTGTAGGCTGAGACGTCGAGAATGTTTGGGTAAAGTGACATGTGGTGGTGTGTGGAAGATGGAGTGCAATCCGGTTTCTGATTGGGGTGGTGATGTTGAAGTGGAGGTTTTGCGGTAAAGTAT